GCTAGCAAATATTGTCCTCTTTGGCTTGTTACGTATTTCCATCCGCCTCAAGGTTTTAAAACTGTCTGCTAAGGAGAGGTTTCCACACCTTTATAAAGAATGTTTCGTTCCTCTCCCAACCAATGTGGGATCTGGGATCTCACACTTACTAACTAAGGCTATTGAGTGTCGGAAAAATTGCAGACGAGTACATTTACGCATATACAGGTGGCAGCTAAGAATCGAATCAGCAATTCTTGTGGTTTCGTGACATACTTTAGACCAAGATTGATTGGTCATCGAACTTTTTTGTGCGTGTTCGTGTAAGAAACCGAACTTTTATTGAGAAAAATGAAAGAATACAAAGCGTACAAAAAACAAGCCCCGAGAATATAGGAGTCTATCTCCTATCAGGCTCCAAAGTTCAAAGAAGCTTACAGTACTACTATACTTGAACTTGCAGCAGTGAAGATATTTGCGCAAAATATGGGAACATCAAATTCTGTCTCAGGGAATGCGGCAAAATCTAAAACCTGCACCACAAATGAATGTAGATAGTTCTTAGAATACAGACATAGATACTATTGATACCGATAGTAGATATTGTCCTCTTCGGGCTTTCCCTTTCGGACTTCCCCTCAAAGTTTTTAAAACGTATCTGCTAGAGAGAGGCTTCCACACCCTTGTAAAGAATGTTTTGTTCCCATCTCTGACCGATGTGGAATCTCACAATCCACCCCCTTTGAGGCCTAGCATCCTTGCTAGTACACCGCCTGGTGTCCACCTCCTTCGGAGTTTAGCCTCCTCTCTAGCACATCGCCCGGTGTCTGGCTCTAATACCATTTGTGACAGTCCAAGCTCACCGCTAGCACTCTCTAGCACATCGCCCGGTGTCTGGCTCTAATACCATTTGTGACAGTCCAAGCTCACCGCTAGCAGATATTGTCCTCTTTGGCCTTTCCCTTTCGGACTTCCCCTCAAAGTTTTTAAAACGTATCTGCTAGAGAGAGGCTTCCACACCCTTGTAAAGAATGTTTTGTTCCCATCTCTGACCGATGTGGAATCTCACAATCCACCCCCTTTGAGGCCTAACATCCTTGCTAGTACACCGCCTGGTGTCCACCTCCTTCGGAGTTTAGCCTCCTCTCTAGCACATCGCCCGGTGTCTGGCTCTAATACCATTTGTGACAGTCCAAGCTCACCGCTAGCAAATATTGTCACATCGCCCGGTGTCTGGCTCTAATACCATTTGTGACAGTCCAAGCTCACCGCTAGCAAATATTGTCCTCTTTGGCCTTTCCCTTTCGGGCTTCCTCTCAAGGTTTTTAAAACGCATCTGCTAGGGAGAGGTTTCCACACCCTTATAAAGAATGTTTTGTTTCCCTCTCCAACCAATGTGGGATCTCAAAATCCACCTCCTTTGGGACCCAACATCTTTGCTGGCACACTGCCTGGTGTCCACCCGTTCATAAAGTGATCATCGGGTAATCCTCCACTTCTCCTTTGTAAAGTCACTTTACATAATACAGCTGAAATTCTCTTAGAAGTCATTTTCCAATCATATTATATGAACTAAGGCATCAAAGATTCTTACTTAAGAGGGTCAAAATATAAAGCAAAACCTGCATTGTTTCACTCTCAATATTTAAACTGCGAAGTAGTCTGATCTTTGGAGCTTGGAAAGATAACATTTGAAGCTTGACATTTTTGTCCATTGAAATCATGGAATTATACTTTTCCTGCAGAATAAGAACAATTATATTGTTACGATGGCAGGAATAATGATTAGTGTTTGAATTCATACAATTTCAAAAACTTTATTGATAGAGGTTTAAGAACTTCAACCAGAATCATATCAAGTATGCTGATGCTGACAGCAAAGATATAGATAGACGTTTATAACACAACTATCTATGAAGCTATTCTAAAACAACAAATTCAAACCTCTTTACATAGAATCAACAAAAACCCTGGATACAAAATGGCTTGAAAAAAAGCTCATCAGTCAAGAACTCAGAACAGGGCAGAAGAGGTTAGAATTGTAACCAAACACAACAGAAAGCATCCATGTTCTTAGACAGATACTATAGGTGAGATTCCACATCAGTTGGAGAGCAGAACGAAACATTTCTTATAAAGGTGTGGAAGCCTCTCCCTATCAGACCCGTTTTAAAAACCTTGAGAGGAAGCCCGAAATGGAAAGTCCAAAGAAGACAATATATGTTAGCGGTGGGCTTGGGCCATTACAACTAGTATCAGAGCTAGACACCAGGCGGTGTGCTAGCAAGAACGTTGGGCTCCCAAGGGAAGTGGATTGTGAGATCTCATGTGGTTAGAGAGGGGAATGAAACATTTCTTATGAGGGTGTGGAAACCTCTCCCTCGCAAACATGTTTTAAAAACCTTGATAAGAAGCCCAGAAGGGAAAACCCAAAGAGGACAATATCTGCTAGCAATGGGTTTTGGTCGTTACAAATAGCATCAGAGCCAGACACTAAGCGGTGTGCCTGCGAGGACGTTGGGCCTCCAAGGAGAGTAAATTATGAGATCTCACATCGATTGGAGAGGGAAACGAGAAATAAAACATTCCTTACCAAGGTGTGAAAATCTCTCCATAGCAAACACGTTCTAAAAACCTTGAAGAGAAATCCAAAGGGAAAAGCTCAAAGAGAACAAATATATGTTAACAGTAAGCTTGAGCCATTACAAATGGTAACAAAGTCAGACACCTAACACAAAGTGTGTAAGAGAGGACACTGCCCCCAAGGAGATGGATGGTGAGTCAGAGAGGGGAATGAAACATTCCTCGTAGAACCTCTCCCTAGCAAACTCAGGGAAAGCTCAGAGAAACAATATCTAGCGGTGGGCTTGTGCTCTTACCCTACATAACAGAGAAATCAAATACCAATCTGGGGGAGAAGAACAGCCAAAGTGTTTTGGAGCATTACAAAGCAAAACAGAGTAAAGAAGCTGAATTGAATCAAAAGCAAAAGTGGCAAGAACACAGAAACCCATTACCTGTAAAGGCGAAGGGAAGAGATGGGTATGAAGTTTGGTTTCATCCAAAGCGAATTGAACAAATTTCTGATAAGAAATTGCAGAAACAGGGAAGAAAGCTCTTCTACACTTGTTCTTACTGCTACAGCTGCTTGAAAATGGTGTTGAGTTGAAGGAAAGGCAGAAGGATAGAGTAGAACACGAAGCCATAGCAGGAAAGCTTCCAAAGAAGATTCAGTAGCAGCATTTGGGTTACCAAAATCCCATTTTTCTATCTCTCACAGAATCGACTGCTGGGGTTTGAGCTGCTGGAGAGCTCGGATGTTGGATTCTGTATTCACCCACGTCGCCAAATTGGTGACATCAACTAAAAAGTGTAATTTAAAGTAAAGAAATCCACATGCTTTGCTTCGATCTTCTTTGGCTTAAATTATAATACTGTTTAAAATTTTCCACTTTTATATTTGTGTTCGTAAATTATAATTTTTTAAATATCTCTTTAGCTTTTAATTATAATATCCAGTAATTTTTAATTAATGTTTTCAAAAACCAAATCAAATTTTTTTAAAAAAAAATTAATTAAAATAAGTTTTTAGAAAAATTCTAGGTTTTAACTCCCTTAAATATGTTATATAAATGATATGTATTATCATGACAGGTATGGTGTCCATTACCCAATTAATTTTATGATCATGAGAAGCTGTGGCATGCTCGTCTCGACTTCATTGAATGGTGTCAATTTTCATTAGTTTGGATGAAGTTTTTGGGACTCGCTTATGTACCACCCGAGACAGTTAAGTAAAATGAGTTAAATGTTTCTATTGGCACAAAGAAGATATGTTTTAGGTTTAGGTTTCACATGTTCGCGTGACATATCTAGATCATGTGCATGTTTGTTTGACTCCATTAGTTGAATGGAAACGTACTAAGACGAGTATTGAGTCAGTTGATGATTGTGTCATGGTGTGAGATTCCATCTTATAAGATTGTGAAAACTTTTTTCTAGTAGATGTGTTTTACAACCGTGAGGCTGACAACGAGGATATATAACGAGCTAAAGCAGACAATATCTACTAGCGGTGGACTTGGGCGGTTACAACTAGTATCAAAGCTAGACACTAGGTGATGTGTCGGCGAAGATACTAGCCTCAATGGATGGATTATGAGATCTCACGTCAATTAGGAGACACAAAGCATTTTTTATAACGATATGAAAATCTATCCCTATTATAAGCATTTTAAAACCTTGAAGTTGACGACATGTAATGGGCTAAAACAGACCATATATTGCTAGTGGTGGACTTATGTCATATACGGGCTTTACAACAACAAGTCACAATACATCACTAATATCGATTACAGTCGTCAAATATTCTTAATCTTCGTAACAATCCTAAAAGTAAAGAAGGATTGGATTGTGTCCTTATTTTTGGGTTTGTCAAGTTGACCGTACGTAAAAAATTTCCAACACAACCAAATAAAAAAAATTTAGTTTTTCAAAAATTCGGGCATTCCACGCTTTTAGAGTCACACGAGCACCCAAAATTTTAAATTATTTAAAAAAAAAAAGATATTTTTTGTCCGTGCTTTTTTTTTCTTCATGGTTTTACAAATATCTCTAGCATGCTTATAGTAATGACTCGTCAATTTAAGTTCAAAAAGTCATATCGTTACTTTTTTTTTCAACACGATCATCTTTTCAATATTGTTTGAGATTATAATCGCGACTTAGGTCAATTATAAAAAACTAAATAATTATTATCAATCATAAATCATCAATTACGAGGTAGATATATATTTGATTAATTTATATTGAAAAGGCGACTTAGAGACCATGACACCAAAATATATGATCTTAGCGTCTAGATGAGGGCCGAGTCGAAAATTTTCTTATAATATGAAGCAACAACATTTTACGGTTTGAATTATCGTATGAATAATCTTTCGGTGTTCGAAATTGAGAATGTAAATATATTTTTAAAAATATAGAAGTATATAACAGAAGTAGCGTTTCTTTACAGAGCATACAGAGCATTGGAAATGAAGAAAATGGAAGTTAATTACATTACATGGGCATGACAGATAAACTAAATCCTTGAAGGAATGAGAGGGATGGTATTTTGCAAGTATGCACTAGCTGCAGCAACTCCACTCCCTAGTTTAACAGGGTACCCTACATCTTTGAGTATCATTTCCACACCAGCAAGACATCCCAACAATTGCAGCTGATACATAATGAGAAAGCAATGCATAAATGGTTAAACCTCCTTGCTCAAACAAAATTTCTACGAGTTAGAGACAAAAAAATAAGAAACGAGAGTGTTACTAAACAAGCTCGACGTTTTTTAGGTCGATTTATGGCCATGTTTGAACAGAGCATGCCAAGAAACAGAAGATTTGCAGCATGTTTGCCAAATTCGAGAAAGTGGGAGTGTGAGATCCCACATCGGTTGGGGAGAAGAACGAAACATTCTAGGGGGTGGAAACTTTTCTCTAGCAGACGCGTTTTAAAATTCTTGAGGGGAAACCCAAAAGGGAAAGCCCAAAGAGGACAATATTTGTTAGTGGTGGGCTTGGGCCGTTACAAATGGTATTAGAGTCAGACACCGGGTGATGTGCCAGTGAGAAAACTGAATCCCGAGGTGGATTGGAAGCGGTGTGCCAAAAAGGACATTGGGCCCCGAAATGGGGTGGATTGGGGGGTCCTACATCAATTAGGAAGTGGATTGTGAGGTCCCACTTCGGTTGGGGAGGAGAACGAAACATTCTAGGGTGTGGAGACCTCTCTCTAGCAAACGCATTTTAAAAACCTCGAGGGGAAAGCTTAAAGAGCACAATATCTGCTAGTGGTGGGCTTGAGCCGTTACAAATGGTAACAGAGCCAGACACCGGGCAATGTGCTAGCGAGGAGACTGAATCCCAAAGGAGGGTGGACACGAGGCGGTGTGCCAGCAAGGACACTGGGCCCCGAAATGGGGTGGATTGGGGGGTCCTACATCGATTAGGAAGTAGATTGTGAGATCTCACATCGGTTGGGGAGGAGAACGAAACATTCTAGGGTGTGGAAGCCTCTCCCTATCAAACACATTTTAAAAACCTTGAGGGGAAGCCCAAAAGGGAAAGCGCAAGAGGACAATATCTGCTAGTGGTGGGCTTGAGCCATTACAAATGGTATCAGAGCCAGACACCAGGTGATGTGCCAGCGAAGAGACTGAATCCCAATAGAGGGGTGGACACGAGGCAGAGTGCTCGAATGACGCTGGCCCCAAAAGGGGATGGATTGAGGCGTCCCACATCAATTGGAGAAGGGAACAAGTGTCAGCACCGACGCTCGGCCCAAAGGAGAGTGGATTGTGAGATCCCACATCGGTTAGAGAGAAGAACAAAACATTCTAGGTTATGGAAACCTCTCCCTAATAGACACATTTTAAAAACTTTGAGGAGAAGCCCAAAAGAGAAAGCCCAAAGAAGACAATATCTACTAGCGGTGGGCTTGGGACACTTACAGGGAGAATCAAAAAACGTCGAAAAAGTAGTTCATTGCAGCGTTTAGGAGACATCAATGTTTGTAAGAAAGCTATGATTTACCTCATTAAGGTTTCCAAGGTGACCAATTCTAAAGACTTTGCCAGCAACTTTGTTCAGTCCAAGTCCCAAGCTCAAATTGTATCTCTTCCATGCCCTTCTCACAATTTCTGAACTGTCGATATAAGAAGGAACAAGCACAGCAGTCACAGTATCACTGTACCATTCCTCTTTTTGTGTACAGTTCTTCAACCCCCAAGCCTCCACAGCAAGCCTACATTTCAATTTCACCAACAAACGAATTTCAAAACACAAATAACAGCAATGAAGTTTCAAGTAATTCACTGATGTGCTACCTCGTCGCTTTGCCAAGACGGCTGTGTCGAGCGATCACATTGTCGATACCTTCCTCGAAAAGAAGATCAAGAGCTGCCCTTAGTCCATACAAGAGCTGAATGGAAGGAGTGTATGGCCAGTATGTTCCTAGTTTGTAGAACTTGAGGTAGTCTTTCCAGTCAAAGAAAACTTTAACTGATGTTGAAGTTTTGGACGCCTCGAGCGCTTTCGGGCTGGCACATATGATTCCAATTCCTGTTGGGAGAGAAAGAGCCTTTTGGGAACCGGTTAAAGCAACGTCGACTCCCCATTCATCCATCCGAAAATCAAGTGCACATATCGACGACACTCCATCGACCAGCAAAAGTGCAGGATGCTTGTACTTATCTGTGAGTTCGTTTTCAAAACTTATCTTTATTTTTGGGAACCATAGTAAAGAAATGGTAAGAAAACAAGCACAATTTTCAAAAATAAAATGAACCGAGGAACAGGGAGGGGCAGTTGCTCCGCTCCTTCTCTGTTCCTCTTTGCTTACCAAGTAGGAACCGAACTTTAGACAAGTCGTTCGTGACGCCCGTGGCTGTCTCGTTATGGACAATGCAAATTGCCTTAATCGTATGCCCGCCATCCTCAGCAAGCTTCGATTCCAGGACATCAAGATTGGCACCCTGGCCCCATTCGCTCTCCACGACATCAACGTTGAAGTTAAGGCGCTGCTGCTGATCAATCCAGAGCAGACTAAACTGGCCAATCAGAAAGGACACAATCCTATCTCCAGGAGACAGTGTGTTTGTAAGAGCACTCTCCCAGGCACCAGTACCTGAGACAAAAACATGAAAAATTAACGTAGGACGTTGTTGTTGTCGTTGTTTTTGTTCTTCAAACTTGAGGGAAGGAAAATTACCAGTTGTGGGAATCATAAATGGGGTTCCAGTAGTAGATTTGAAAATCTTCTTCACATCTTCAAGAAGAGTTTTTGTCAATGCAGGAATAGCAGGAGAACGGTAATCCTCATTGTTTCGGTTCATCGCCCGCAGAACTGGTTCCGGTATGTTAACCGGCCCCGGGACGAACAGATGGTTTTTTCCAGGTGCATATACATAATCCATTTTTCCTTCTCAAAATTCTGTCAGTTTTCAGCTACAGAATATAGAAAGAGTATTAGATCTGTAGTATTTCTTCATTCAGTCTTTGAACATTCAAATGTTTTGATTGCATCCCAAACCTTCGATTTTAGTCCTAACTTATCAAGATGTTCCATGTAATCGCCCAAACTCACCACTAGTAGATATTGTCTACTTTGGCCCGTTACATATCGCCATCAGCTACATGGTTTTAGAACGCATCTACTAAGCAGAGGTTTCCACACCCTTACAAGGAATGTTTCGTTCCCCTCTCCAACAAATGTGGAATCTCACAATCCACCCCCTTGAGAGCCCAGTGTCGCACTCCGCCCAGTGTCTAGCTTTAATCCATTTGTAACAGCCCAAGTCCACCGCTAGCAGATATTGTCCTCTTTGAGCTTCCCCTCAAGGTTTTTAAAACGCGTTTGCTAGAGAAAGGTTTCCACACCCTTATAAAGAATGTTTCATTCTCCTCCACAACCGATGTGGGATCTCACAATCCACTCCCTTTAAATGTCACGAGTTCCAAATCCAATTTTTTAACTTATTAGAATCAAAATCGAAAGTGTAGAAACATATTTGAAACTTAGAAGTTCAAGGTCTAAAAAAGCAAACTCAAAACTCAACCAAACCTTAAACTTTTTCACATATTCTTAAAAGTTGAAGTGTTTTTTTTCTTACATAGTACTTCATCTTTCAACATGTTCTTAAAGAAAACAGCACTCGTAGGGGATGAGTTGATTAAATACATAAACAAACACAAGGATCAGTCAACAAGCATGAACCATATTACAAGTTTAGTCCATAAACTTTCAAAATTTCATTACATTCAAAGCCCTATACTTCAAATTTTAAAAGGTTTCTTACAAGTTTCTAAACTATCAAAATCCCAACAACAATATGCCAATACAATAGTTGTTTTACACAAATTTTGTTCAAATATCCAAAACCCAGAAAAACCCATAAATCCAAAACCCGAAATGAACGATCAGAGCAGAAATCATCAAAGAAACAGAGCAGAAACCCCAGAAAACCACAAAGTAAAAGGCAACAGAGAGCAAAATGAAACAAAGATGAACAAAGAGAAGCAATCAGAAGTTAGAACAGTACAAGGAGAAGGAGAACGAGCAGCACCTCGAGAGAGAAATGGAATGGTGTGGTAGAAATGATTTCCGTGGAAGTTGGGGCAGAGAAACTGAGAAATGACAAAGAACAGAGCAGAGAGTTGAGAATTCTTTGATATAAGAGAGATTTGGAGATGGGTTCCAATCAGGCGTCGCCGTGGCAGATAATACCCACACCAAATTGTTTCCTTTCGTTTATTGGATGGCTGCCTTTGCTTCTCCTAATTTCTTTCCTTCTTTCTTATCTCATTCAATTGCTAACATAATATATGTATACTAATATATTATTAATCTAATCCGTCCCTCTACGGAAAGATCAACTGGTTATCTCTAGAGTAACTTTTATTCGTTGAGCGACGGTCCTTTCACTCAACATCGACGAATCACTAAGGTTGACTTTCGTCTCTGCTCGATGGGTAGGTCTTGTAGTCAAGTTTCCTTCTACCTTTACACTCAAGGGTCAATCACCATTTGACCTTTTGGAAAGCCTACGCCCTATAGAAAATGTATACCTAGGACTACCCTTGACTCTCATAAGCCCGACACAAGTTAACTCAGTAAATAAGATAAGAAGGTACTCATGGATATGAACCTCCATATTAGTAGAAATGTTTTAAAAATAATATTCTTCTAAAGTTAAAAAAGGTTAAAATTATTAGAAGATATTAGATCACTCTCGACATTTTAATGAATTTGAGTTCAGAAAACTAACCTGAATACAATTTAATGGTAATTGATATCTATAGAACTTTGAACTTTCCACTCAAATAAAGGAATATATATCAATAGTCATTAAAATTATGGTAGAATCTTTCCGACCAAGATTTCTTTTGTTTTAATCACCTAAAACACGAAAACTGTATCCGTTGTCTCTATGTATCCCCTCGAGAATGAACGAAAAAGAAAAAATGAATCGTGTCACTCGAAATTTCTAAGCCCTTCCCTTCTCCTTCGGTACTAGGTGAGTCTAAGGAAGCAAAATAAATTACAAACGCTCCTATCATAAAAGACATGAGATTCGAACTCCCCGCCCCCCCCCCCCCCCCCCCCCCCCCCCCCCCCCCCCCTTTGAGTAATTGTATCCTTGAACTTTTATATTACTCTCATCTATTAATGAAAAGTTCGTTTCTTGTTAAAAATTAAAAAAAAAAAAAAAAAAAAAAAAAAAAAANCATGTTGAATTAAAAATCAAATAAATAAATAACATATAAATATATGTATGTATATATAGATATTATTTGTTTTAAGTAATTTATTTAATAATTATTCCTTAAAAAAGCAAAGGAAATGCTTGAGGTTGAGACAACAATGACAAAGATAATGTGATAATGTTCCATATGAGTGTCGACCACATTTTCATTTATTAAATTTAGTCCATACATTACTTATTTATTTATTTATTTATTATTATTAAATAATTATTTTTTAAAAGGTTGAGAAAATTTTGAGCAATGAGCAAACAAATGTGAGGGCCAATCTTCATATATTATTATCTAACATTACTTTAATAATACAAAACATTACATTATGATAATTATAAAACCCATGATATGAGTTTCCTTAACTTTATTGTATTATTGGATCATTCCAACATGTAACCACTTCAATAACGTCTCGATTTATAATATATAACACAATCTCGTATTTAATTGGTTATAGACTCTTATATTCTCGATTAATAGATTAAAAATTCAAATTTTCACTCCATTATAATAACGGGTTAATGTATTTTAGGCTCTATACTTTTAAATCAAATCACGATTAAGTGAGACGTGACCTCCATCACAATCCAACTTCAGGACGTATATGGCTCATGTGCCTCACTTAATAATCCACTACTAACTAGTTGATTGTTCTTTAGTAGTTCCATATAGTTATAATAACGTGAGGAGCGACCCATGTGCCTGCCAACTACCTGATATTATGTGAACCTCGGCTTCTTAGAAGGACAAGATCTTTGGGAGGTCGTTGGTAAAAGTGAAACTATGCCACTAGAGGAGGATGTTAATGGCCCATTGCATAAATGATATGAACCGAGACATCAATCATGTGAAACTTCAAGGACGATGTGAAGATAATGTTGTTCAAATTATAACAAGATGTTGCAATTCATGCTACATTAAAAAAGAATCAAACTTCATTTATTCTTGGATGATTACTAATTTTGGGTAATGTTACCGGTAAGGCCAAAATTTTTCGTTTCGAGTAGTAGAAAGAGCATTGTACTTCTCTCTAGCCAAGGGCTAATTTTTTTTTTTTTTTTTTTGCAAGTCTATAGTTTAGGTTGCATATTTATAATTATTCAAACTTGATATGATCAATTTTGATTATGGAGTGATTCGAATCTCAAACAAGCGCTTTTACCTTGAAGTATTTAAGCAACAAAATAATCTGAGTCTTATTTTTTCGATTTCTTATTAGGAAATGGAAAATCAAATAGGCAAAAAAAAAAAAAAAAAAAAAAAAAAAAAAAAAAAAAAAAAAAAAAAAAAAAAANAAAAAAAAAAAAAAAAAAAAAAAAAAAAAAAAAAAAAAAAAAAAAAAAAAGTGTTTTCTTTGAAGACCCTAGATGAAGAAGAGATGTTGGAGCACATTTAGGATGACAAGACGCTGAAAGAAGCATGAGACACACGGGTGATGCTTTTCTAAAAAAGAACGATGAGAGGTTACAACTTTTATCGAGCAAGCTATTAATGACACAATGTGACATGGCAAATTTTTAGTACTTCCACAAGTTTAAATTGATATGTTGGGAGATTACTAATATAGATCTGAAATCCGTCATTTGGAGAAGCTTGAATGATACACAAATTCTAACCAAAATATAGAATCTTGGTTCTTGATGTACAAGGATGACCCACTCAATCATCACTAGTAGAGTTTAAAAATTTGCTAGCCAACTAAGAAGTCATGACTAAGCAATTAGAAGGCATCATGCTGAATAGTGAAGAAGAAGTGCTCTACAAAAGTAAGAGTTAGTGCAACAGTGAGCCGCCAACCAAAGGTAGATACAAAAATACTGACAAAGAAAGAAGGCACCAAGAAACCACACAACCTTGGAGAGCTTAGAAGAACGACAATAAGAGTACTCAAGGGAAGAGATTTGAATGCATTTGCTACAATTGTGAAAAGAAGCGTCACATGTCCAGAATTGTTGGTCCAAGAAAAAGTTTGATGAAAGCAATGCGGCAACCTTAGAAAGTGGCCTCTCGTTTTTCAAATTTTAAGGTCCATGGTGCCCTTGTATGTCTTGAGCTCTAAGAAAGTCTAACAATGGTAATGGCTCAATATTCGCTATAGATGACCTCTCAATCTACCTATATCTCAACACGTGACTACAACTAAATGCTAGCTGGTTGCTCCCCTTATTAAAAGTCATTTCACCATGCTCTTTAATCCTACGTCATTCCAAGCTAGAACAGTGCAAGGTAGACTCTCCATTAAGCACAACAAGATTAGTACTCTCTAGTGTGTAAGGGGCCCTAAGTGGGTGACATCACATTCCTGTATTAAGTAAACCCTCATTAGTCAAGGTGAGTTCATAACTAGGGGTTGTGCCTCAAGTGTCCCTATATAGACTTGATCGATATAAGGAACTCTAAATGTTGCTCAAGGACCAAGGAAAGATAAAACATAGGTTAAGACTCACGAACAAGTCATACATATACTCCACGACACATGACATCTAGTCCATAAATCAAATAAGGCATACATAAGTATTCCAACTTCCTAACATGCTTTTAGGGGCATAAATGACATTAAATCATAAAATATACCTACTTACACAACATACATGCATATCGAGCAATGTACTGTACAACATGTATATCGATCTAAACCGACATTAATCCAAAATTTGGGGTTTAAATGATGAAATCGAGCTTAAAATAGGGGTTTGGTTCAAGTGAACCAATTTGGACCGGTTCAATACCTCCGTCAAGTTCGAGCCTCCCTTTTTTCATTGCTCGTGGTCTGCGCTACAACCCTTAATGGGTCTCAAAATGAATATATACCAGCCAAGAATCATAAATTCTTTTTCCGAAACAAGCAAGTTAGGGTCGATAGAAAATTTTGGGTCTACAAATATGGCAACTGAGTTAAATTGGACTAGTTCAACTAGATCAATCATCCCACTACGAATATGGTTATCATACGTTCAATTAAACTAGATTGGACTAGTCTAACTTGACCGATCATCCATAAACTCAAGATTGTAGAACTTGCATACGCCTTTTCCTTTTTCATTCATATCTTCAACTTCTAAAGATTGGTTCTGACCGGATAAATTTTTATTCCTTCATAAAAGTTATAGATCTCATCAAGATGAATCTAATGGAACGCAAAACCATCTGTTATACACATAGGCCATTAACATGCTTAATCCACTAGCTAGAACGAGTTGAAACGTGAGTCATGCGGAAACTTCGATATAAGGTGCATTTCACATGACCACAAGAAATGATACGGACCCTTTTTTTACTCCTCAATAATCAAGAAGTATTCGAAAAAGCCTAATTTGAATTAGACAAACAAGTTGGGAGAGAAAGATATGTGAGAAAGTCGGATGCAAAAATTTTGATATATCTCGGATCCGAGCTGTTAATAAAGGAAACATTGCATTTGTATCCTACAATACATCTCTCTATTCCTTACGAGTCAGATGAATGGTACAATTTATGAGTTTCAAAGAGATCCACGTGTTTTGAAGGATAGTAGAGAATTTAGTCCCGAGAGATTTGAATACTCAAAAGCATTTTGAGGTTAAAGGGCAAAATTGTCCTGCTATTTTTTCTATCATAGTTGAATTTGTCCACAGAATAATTATAATTGGTCCATTTGGTCCATAGCCTAACAAATAATATGTTAATAACTAAAAACGAATTATAATAGGACAATTATTTGGGTTAATTCTAAACCATTATTATCAATAAAAAAAAATTAATTTCTCTTGTATTATTATATTGAATAATTATAATTTAAAATTGTTTCAATCCATTATGAGCTTCAACTTATAACCAAATTTGATTAACTAATATTAATTAGTTTAATACTAATTAATTAAGGATTTAATATTATCATTAATACTTGTAACAATAATTTCATGCTGGATTAATCTTCGCCGGGTTCTTTCTCTATGTATGCTGTCTTTAGTATTTCCCAAAAATTTGGTGCTCACCGGAACAGACAACCACCTGAAGCCGGCCGTGGTTGGTCGG